AGGAGGCTTCGACCGCTTCCAGGCTTGCTGCCCCGATCTGTGCTCTGAGTCTCCCGTCCCGGCGATGCCGTCTACTGGGGCCGAAAACAGCTGCTCCGACCCCAGGGCTCCCTTGTATGACCAGGTGAGTTGAGATCAGGGCTCCTTGTCATTGTCCCGCTGACCTCACCATGCAGGGTAGGCACCTCTGGGGAAAAGAGCCTGCCGTTTGTGGATGCAAGATGTCCATATCCACACTCACTTGTGTGTGTGTGTGTCCCCAAATGGCAGAGCACACCTTTGTGTGTGCCTGTCAGGGGTTGCTCATGTGTGCTTTTGTGGATCTGTGTCCTGTGAGCCACATATTTTGGGGCTTGAGGAGGACGTGTGTGTCTGTGAGTGACTGTCTCTGCGTGTCCCCTTGTGTCCTCATATTCCCTAGTCTGATCCCTGCTCAGGACTGGCTGAGGGCTCCTCTTTACGGGGCCAGTCTATCACACCCCTACCCCTTGGTGCTCAGGCCCTCAGGGAGACCTCACCACCCCCCCTTCCTCTCTGCCTCCAGGGTGGCCCCGTGGAGATCTTGCCCTACTTGTTCCTGGGCAGCTGCAGCCACTCATCCGACCTGCAGGGCCTTCGGGCTTGCGGCATCACAGCTGTCCTCAACGTCTCGGCCAGCTGCCCCAACCACTTTGAGGGCCTGTTGTGCTACAAAAGCATCCCGGTGGAGGACAACCAGATGGTGGAGATCAGTGCCTGGTTCCAGGAGGCCATCGGCTTCATTGGTAAGAGGCGGGTCTCAGTCCCAGGACCTGGTGGGGCCCCAGGGGAGGAGGCTGAGGCACCTGTCTCCTCCCTGCCCACCTTCCCGCCTGACTCGCTCTCCCCCATTGCCCTTGCAGACTCGGTGAAGAACAGCGGAGGCCGGGTGCTGGTGCACTGCCAGGCGGGCATCTCGCGCTCTGCCACCATCTGCCTGGCGTACCTGATACAGAGCCGCCGCGTGCGGCTGGACGAGGCCTTCGACTTTGTTAAGCAACGCCGGGGAGTCATCTCCCCCAACTTCAGTTTCATGGGGCAGCTGCTACAGTTTGAGACTCAAGTGCTGTGTCACTGAAGCTGGGCCCCACCATGCTGGCCCCTTAGGGCTGAGGCACTGCCTGATTCCTGGGCATGGCAGACTGGGGGCAGCTGGGGTCCCAGTGCCCCACTGTCCCCCTCATCTCAGGGAGAGTGATCCCTTCCTTGGAGTTTGAAAAGCCCCCAGATGGGGGCGCTGGGAATGCAGAAATGCTGGACTTTCTCACCTGGTGCTCTTCTGCTAGGGGTTTGAGGGCTTACCCTCAGTCCTCATTTCAGAAGGAGAATGGGGGGCATTTGTGCCCTGCAACCCTGTCCTCTGGCAGAAGCTAACTGGACTCTACATCCAGGGACTCTCGTTGGTCCCACCTCCATGCTGGAGCCCTTGGCAGCCTGAGGGCTCCAAGGAACAAGCTGTGACAACCAGGAGCCCTGTATGGGGAGTGGTCCACCCCGGGGCCTGGAGCCTGAGCCCTGTGCTGGGGCTTGGGGAAGTGATGCGAATGCCGTGTCTGGACCTCTTGCTTGTGTGTGTGCGCAAGTGTTTCACGCCTTTGTTGGCGCTGGAAAGTTATTTGTGTTCAACTGACATTTAACACTCCCTCTCCCACTTCCTCCCAGCCCTGTGGGCGGGGGTTGGAAACTTAGCACTTTATATTTATACGGAACATTGAGGATGTGTCAATAAAATATTGTTTTGTTTAAAAAGAATTTGTTAAGCGTCTGATCTCAAGTCAGTGCCTAGGAACGTGCTCAAAAGCTGTTTTTTCATCAGACCTCACATTCCCTTGGGTGGCCAGGTCTGGGAGATGGAAGGAGGGAAGTACAGGGGTGACCTCCTCTCCTGGCCCTGGTCCCCATGCAAGTGTCCCTTCCCAGGCAGCCTTCTGAATCCAGAGCTGAAAGCAGTGGTTTCTGGGAGACTGGCTCCAGCCTTATTCCAGTAAATGGCTTTGGTCCTGGAGGGAGAAGACCGTGCCTACCATTCAGAGCTGGACCCAGCACTGCCCTGGTCAGAAGGTCCAGCTTCCTTTTTGGAGCATGTGGATGTGTGTGTGCACGTGCGCGACCGTCTGTGGCTGTTCCTGTGAGTGTTGTGTCTGCTCTTGGTCTGCATACACACATGTGTTCCTACATACCTGCGTGTGTCTGTGCGTGTGCCCGTGGGTGGGTGTGGCGCTCTGGAGCGGTGTGCCTGGCACAGGACGGTGCTGTCTGGGGAGACCTGAGGCACAGGCCCAGCCCCAGCCAGTAGCAGAGGGCGCTGAGGCCGCTGAGGGCAGCCCTGCCAGAGCTAGTCCTGCTTTAGCCACCGCTCTGACGCTCCTGGCCAGGAGCAGTGTCATCTGGCTAACTGTATTTTGTCCTTCCAACCTCAGTGCCAGGGTCATCCCTGTGGAATGCCGCCCCTTACTTGGGCACTCTGAGCGCCCGGCAGGGTACACCCGAGTGTACGGGTAGTGGAGTTTGCCAGGGGGCCACTTTCACTTAACCTTGCTCGATCTCAGTTTCCTGGTCTGTAAATGAGGTTTTAGCATCAGTCCCCACCTCTTAGGGTGGTAGCGAGACTTAACACGAGTCAAGGCTTAGCCCAGCACCTGCGCATAGTAGATGCTCAGGAAACGTTAACTACTGACAGCCCCAGGAGCCAGGGTTTTCAGGTGTGCAGCTGTGCACCTCAACCAGCCTGGACCCTCGTGAGGGCAGGGCCTGTGGTCTGCTCAGCCCTGTGTCTGGAGTCGGGCGCAGGTGGGCACTGGCTCCATGGGGCTGAATGAGGGGCAAAGTCTGCCCCGCTGTGCCCTGTTCCCTCTGCTTTCTGAGGGAGGGTGAGGCGTAGAGCTGGGGTTGCTATGAGGGCTTCTGTCGGACGCCCAGCTCAAGGTGGATGGGGGACATCTGAGGCCCTGAGTCGTGGGGGCCTTCCTGCCCCCTTGCTCCTTCTCACACACAGCAGGCCTGGTGGCTGTGGCCCCTCCCCATCCCCCACCCCCTGCCCCATCCCTTCCTATTTCAGCCTCACCCCACCCCACCCCACCCCACCCTACCCCTCCCCACCCGCATTTTTTAAGTTCATCTTTCCAACAAACTGCATTTCTTTCTCTTCCTTCCTTTTAATTTGTTTATTAAAATTTTAAAAATCGTGGTTAAAAAAGTGTAACAAAATATACCACCTTTACTATTTTTTCTTTGTAAGATTTTCTTTTTTGGTTTTTCTTTTTTGTATTTTTTAAAGTTTTTCTCTTTTTTTCATCTTTGCTATCTTTAAGTGTGCACCTCAGTAATGTTAAGCGTGTTCAATCACATTGTTGGGCAGCCAGTCTCCAGAACTTTTCCATCTTAGGAAACTGACACTCTGTCCCCATTAAACAACAGCTCCCTCCCCATTTCCCCACCTGCAGCTCCTGGCGACCACCACCCTACCTTCTGTCTCTGAATCTGACTACCCTCAGAGATCCCATGTAAGTGGAATCATACACTATCCTGCGGGGATTGGCCTATTTCACTTAGCATAATGTCCTCAAGACAAACTGCATTTCTTTCTTTTCTTTGCTTGTTTTTTGGTGGGGGAGGTAATTAGGTTTATTCATTTATTTCTAGAGGAGGTGCTCGGGATTGAACCCAGGACCTTGTGTATGCTAAGCACTCACTCTGCCACTTGAGCTATACCCTCCTCCCTTAACTAAGACTCTATTTCTCTACCCAAGCAGGGTGATTATCATGGTGATTATTCCACATTGCACTCATCTGAAGCAGCTCAGCTCCATCCATCCTTACAGATGTTAACACCCCACCCGGGCAGCTGGGGCATCTGTCTTCATCATGTTCTCCCTATGATTCTGACTCCTATCTTTTTAAAGAAACGCTGGGTTCCCAGCACTGCAGGATGCTGAGTGACCTTGGCTCTGTCGCCTGTTTACAGGACATTGGTAGGGGCGCATCCCCAAATCCTCCACCTCCAGGATTCAAACCCAGGTGGGCCCCTTGGTGACCAAGCTCTGATGAGGGGCCTCTTGAGAGGCCAAGGGGTACAGAGGAGGAGTATGGGTAAGGAGCTTTAGTTTCTGAATCTGTGAAATGGGGATGAATGCCGATTTTGCATGGCTGATGTTGGGGTGACAGGGGCAGCGTCTGCGTGAGGGTCTAGGTATCCAGAAGTTCCCCTTTTCCACCTGGCAGGCTTCTCTGGGGACGCTGGTGACACCCGGTGTTCAGTTTGTGAGTTTTCACTGATCCCTGCCCTTGTGATTGTCCACGTTCCCATATGTGTACAAGAAAGGCTTATAAAAACGTAGTGACTTTTTGCTCCTTCCACAGTTAGACTGGAGGCGCCTCAGGGTCTCAGGCAGTTCATCTGGGCACACAGCAGGGGCAGGAAAGGGGGATGGGGGATGAAGTTCCTCTCAGCGCCTGTCACCCTTCTGTGATGTTTCTCTGCCCCCTGGTGGTGGGAGGAGACCTGAGAAAGGCACATCCCCAACTGGGACCCCCACCCCTTTGCCACAGTGCCTTGTGCCCTGCTTCTCCATGCCCTCTCACCCACTTCAGCCAGGCCAGGAAGGACATGACCAGGGTCCAGAAGGCTCGGGCTGGGCTGGGCAGGGCTGCACGTGGAGTTGGTTGGGGCAGGTGGGAGCAGGTGGAGCTGGTTGGGGATGGGATGCAGGTGGGGGCTGGAGAAGCTGCTATTTAAGGAGGGGTGGGGGTTGGCTCTAAGCCTGCAATTCGGAGGCCTTGTCTCGCGGGAGTTCATGCCCCTGCTGGCTGTGGGGCCGGCAGAGCCCACCACCGGCAGCATGGGCAGGGGGAGCCTCTGGCCTTGGGTGCTGGCTCTGCTCTCTTTGCCAGGTAAGCAGGTTGCCTTACCTTCCTGCCTTCCTCCCTCCTCATTTTGGGGGAGGCTGCCTTTTGGAACCCAGTCTTGGTCCTGCTAAGGGAGTGCTGAAGGGGAGGCCAGCCAGGCTCCCAGGACTCCTTCCTGGAGGCCAACCTTTGTAAAGGGGCTGGGTCTTTCGGTCTGACACCTGCCACCCACCCCACCCCGTGTCCTGCCCTCACCATCGGGGGCACTTTGGCCACCGTGTGTTTGCGCCCGTGTCTGGGCCAGGTTTGATCCTAGGAGCACCCTCAGCCTCTGGCTGCCCAGGAGCCTGTGAGACCAGAGTGTCAGAAGGCCTCACCCCTGAGGAGACCCAGACGTCTTGGGACAAGGACATCCCTGCGATTAACCAAGGTGAGGGTACTGTGTCTTCTCGTCGGGTGAGGGGTATGATGCTGTCCATGTAATGTGTGAAGACCGTGCTGGACTTTCAGACAAGCGGGAAAAGCTGGGAGGAATCACGCCAGCTCACTCAGTGGGTCTGGGGAGGAGAACTTCTATGGGCAACTTCTTAAGTTCTTTTTTTTTTCTTTCTTTATCTTCTCTACTGGGTGGTTATTTTTATAAGAAGTGGGAAGAGCAGCGGTTTTTAAAAAATGGCCTGGTGAAAGTGGGGGGCTCCCCACGTCTGGTGTTGAGCGGAGTCATTAGTGGTGGTTTGGAAGCCTGTCCGCCACCTGGTGCAGGACGACCTGCAGGTGTGAGGTGCTGGGGGTCCAGAGGCAAGGAAGTGTGAGTCTCAGGTCTCCCGGTCTGGGGATTTCGGCTGAAGAGGGAGAACCTGGAGACACCCCAGGACAAAGCTGGTAGAAACAGACATTGGCGTCCAGATGTGGGAGCTGAAGTGCTGGGTGAATGGGAATCTGCCCGGTGCGGTAGCCACGTGGGTTCCACCCCCTCTTCCTCTGTGAGCAGGGCAGTGAGTCACTTTTTGGTCACTGGGTCCGGTTCTGGCCATCTCAGACCCATCTGAGGCTTCTCTGGCATTGCTCTTCAGCTGCCGTGGAGAACATTGTCACCTCGGGCTGCTGGTAGCCAACTACCCGCGAGCCTAGTGTATGAATGGTCATGCTGCCCTTGACCGGGAGGCACACATCACCCTCAGCTTCTGGCAATGTTTGCTGCTGGTACCTCGCAGCTGGGAAGCTACTCCCTCCTCTGCCCAGGGCGGCCCAGCCAGAGTGACTCATACCGGACATGGATCTGACCCCCTTGCCTCAGGGAGGGACAAGTCTGCAATGCCACGTGGGGTCCTGAGCTCTCGTGGGGCCAGGCTGAGGCTGCACCTCAGCTGAGCCCAGAGCCTCCCCAGAGCCCCCTAGCTCTCCTGGCTCCCGCCAGGAATCACCTGCACGTGGCCTACCCCCCGACCCAGGCTCAGGGTCCACTTCTAGGGAACCCAGCATAAGTCCCCCTCGAGATGCCAGGCACTCTTTTAAGATCCCTCTTGGGGCTGAGGAGAGGGTTGCCAGCTGTGGCAGAAAACGAGGGTGGAAGGAGAAGAAGCTGGGGGAGGGGAGAGGGGAGAAAGGGTCAGAGGGGAGGGAGATGGGGGCCCACAGGAGCCAGGGCTTGCCCTCCCCTGGCGGTGTGGGCTAGAGTTTGTGTCATTTGCCACTGTAAGAGTCCAGAGGATGACACAGGTGGGTAGGGGGTGAGGTGGGACAGGAGAGCCCAGGGCATGTTCTGTGGAGTGTGGCTTTGGCTGGAGTGGAGGATGGAGGCAGCTTCCTGAGAGCAGAGGACCTCAAACACAGGAGGCAGGAGCGGGACTGGACTGTATGGGTCGTGGGGGAAGTGCCCTGTCTGAGCAGGCTGAGAAGTGTCACGCACACTTGTGGAGTGGGACTCACACAGCCTCAGTGCCCAGGGGAGCTCTAGCTCCAGAGTCCGAGGAAGGACAGACCCTGGGGTTCCGTGGCCTGGCAGCCGAGGCCTCTGCTGGGCCTGTCCTAGAGTGTGTTCTGGGAGACGTGGGCCTGCACACTTCCCTCCTGCCCTCCCTTCCCAGGGCTCATCCCAGAGGAAGCTCCAGAGAACAGCTTTCTCCTCGAGGGGGACATCCTCCGGCCGGTGAGTGTGAGTGTGCACATGGGTGTAAATAACCTCACAGGTAGTGTCAGAGGCCTTTGAGCCCACCCTTTGGTGTTATGAATGTGACGTGTGAGGGGTCCACCCATCTTTGTTACTCACAACTTGATAGATACCTCTTCTTGCAAGAGTCAGAGTGAATGTCCTGTTAGAAATGAGCCAGCCTGATGGTGATGGTGGCAGCATTCAGCCTAGGAGGCCTTCCTGTAGGAGGGGGTTTGAAACTTCAAATCCCAGCTTGTTACCCTGCCTGGGGGAGGTGCTGAGGAAGTGCTGGGACAAAGGAAGAGATGAGCACAGGTTGGCAGTGGCCAGTGGGGCCATAGGGAGGTGTTTGTGGTAAACATCAGGGTTGGTAGTGATGGTCGGGGAACACAGAAAAGGGAGTAATGCAGGAACCATCCTGGCTTGGGGTGAGAGGTGGAGTTAGAAAGGGAGAAGGCTAGATGGGAATTGGGGTGACTGGCAGTGCCATCTTTTAGGAGGCTGGAGATGGCAGGGGGCTCATCAACAGGATAGTGACCTGGCGAGAACAAGACTGCTTATTCACTTTGGACGCTGCCCACTGATGGTGCAGCATGAGGCCGGGCTGCAGAGCCAAATGGCCAGCCCTGGGGCAGGGCAAGGCCCCTGGTCCCCATTAGCCAGTGAGTGTCAGGGTAAAAGCAGAATCCAGTAAGACCTTTGGTAGCCAGTGGGGCAGGACGTGCTGGGGTGCTGTGAAGCCTATGCTTCAAAAGGTGTTTGTTGGCAGAAGAATAAAGGAGTTGCCAAGGCCAGGAGAGGACCGTATCCCCATCTTCCTCCCCCTGCACATGCTGGGGAGCTTGGCCCGCTGCCACGCTCCAGGAGAGGTGGAGTGGGGCTTCTGGTGGGGCTTCCCTTCTGCACTGGGCCTCTTGGGATGCCAGGAATCCTAGCCAGCCTCTTCAGGGATGAGTATTTTGTCTTGTGTATCAGCTTGATAGAAGTTGCAAGTTCTGTATCACCTACGAGAAAGGGTTGTGCTGTGCATGGTAACTCCCAGAGCGGGCCCGCTGACTTCCCTTGCTGCCATCCTATTGCTAATGACCAGCCACCCTCTGTACCCGGGCCTGCTTCTCACATCCTTAGGGCTCCTGTGGCCTGGGGTGGGGCACCTTTAGGGGTCGGAAGCTTGGCTGGCCTGGGTCCCTGATCTGCCCTCTCTCCTCAGAGTCCCTTCCGGCTGTTCTCGGCCACCAACGACAAATGGCCCAAGAATGCGGGCCTCGTGGAGATCCCCTTCCTGCTCTCCAGCAAGTATGGTGAGTGAGTGTGCACCCCCATCCCAGAAGCCGAGGGCCTCCTTCCCTGTGCCAGCCCCCGCTCCACATGCAACCTGGGCTTTTTTGCCCTCTTTCCGTGCATCCCCTCACCCCTCCACCACCATCACCCACAAGCCCTCTCTACCCCTGAGGGCCTCCTGAGCTGGGAGGTTGAGATCCTGGAGGAGCTGGTGGGGAAGGTACACGTAGGGAACTGTCTGATCCATTTCGAGACCAAATGGTCCGGAGGACAGTGACCTGCTGCTCAAGGTCACACAGCCAGGGTCTGTCTGGAGTCCCGCTTTCTTCTCCCAACACTATGATGCCCTTACCTGACATTCCACTTTGGGAGAGCGATCTGAAGCTCGGTTTCCTGCCCGAGTACAGACTTCCAAGGGCCCATGAGGGCTGGGGGCTTGGCTGGGGCTCGAGCCAGGATGTCTCCTCCAGATAAGCCCAGCCGCCAAGTCATCCTGGAGGCATTTGCTGAGTTTGAACGCTTCACGTGCATCAGGTTTGTCCCCTACGAGGGCCAGAGGGACTTCATTTCCATCGTCCCCATGTCTGGGTAAGTGCTGCTGGGTGTGTGTGCGTGCGTGCACGTGCAGGCTGCGCGCCTCAGCCGTCTTGAGTTCAGCCTGGAATTAACGAAGCCATTGTCTAAATGTCTGGGCCTGTCCTCCTTGGTCCCAGAGACCCCTGGCCCATCTGAGCTGGACCTATAAATACTCAGGGCAGAGAGTGGAGGAGAGGAGGTACCTGACCCTCCTTTACAGAACCCTCATCGCCATCTCCCAGGAGATGTCGTGGTGTGGGGAGTGGGTGCAGGTTTTATGGGACAGATTTGGCCTCCAATCCTGGTTCCCGGTGCAGGAGCCAGGGGACTCTGGCAAGTCCCTTAGCTTCCAAGCCCCTCCTGCCTTGTCTCTGAAATGGGGGTGGTGGTAATGCTGATTTCTTAGCTTGTGAAGGGCCTAAGAGAACGTGAGAGTGTTGACTCCGGGCTCCCCATGTGGGGATGTTCAGGTAATAAACTGCTTCCGCCATCCCCGTTAGTATTACTTCCCACCAACTCCTTGCAGCACAGGCTGGAAGTGGGGCTTTAGTCACCCTCTTCACAGAAGGCCAGGCAGTGAAGAGACTGGGGAACAGCAAGCCCAGGACTGGAGGTGGGGATGGGGCCTCCCTGTGGTGCTCATTGTCCCTGGTCTTGGGGGGAGGGGCAAGGGGCCCAGGTCTGCTGACCCTCTGGGCTGGTGCCCACTCAGCGCTCTCACGGCCCTGCAGGTGCTTCTCTAGCATAGGACGCAGTGGAGGGATGCAGCTGGTATCCCTGGCACCCAGCTGTCTCCAGAGGGGCCGGGGCATCGTCCTGCATGAGCTCATGCACGTGCTGGGCTTCTGGCATGAGCATTCGCGGGCTGACCGGGACCGCTACATCCGTGTGAACTGGAACGAGATCCTCCCAGGTGAGCCAGGTCAGGCCGGGGTGGGAGTCCTGGAGGGGAGAGGGCGCAGGCACATGCCTGGCTACTGCGAGAGGTTGTCCATCTTCCCCACTAGCTGCCTGTCTCCCATGGGAAAGGTGGGGTTCCTGCTTCCCTCTGAGACCTGGACAGTGGTCCAGAGGCTACTGCTCTGGGCCCTGAGCCTTCGCTGCCCACCCACAGTCACCCTGAGCTAGGGCATCAATTTGCTTTGTGTCTCCCTTCCCTTCCCTGACACTGCAGTTTTCTGAGGATGGAGTTGATGGTCTTAGGACTCTTGCTCGCTGTGTACCCATCCAGAAGTCCCTCACGTGCCAGACACTGCTGTGTGGGGTCGGGGAAGGGGCTGTGCTCAGCTGGGGATGCTGAGCTGAGACAGAAGCCCTGGAGGTAGTGGGCTGCGTGTGCCAAGTGCCAGACACAGGAGCTGAGGGCAGTGCTGTAGCGATGCAGTGCCTGTGAAATGGGCGCTGATGGGCACATGGGACAGAAAGAACAGGAGACCACGTCCTAAGAGGTGGCAGTGGGAAAGCTGAGGCTGGTCTGGGGAGTGGGCCACTGCACTGGGTGCCAGGGAGCACCAGCTGTGTGCTGGGGATTGGACTCCCATAATGGTGGCACCCTGCCCTTGGTGGGGTAGGGGGCAGGGACAGCCTGATGTGGAGGTGAGAGGAGCAGTGACAATGGCTTCACGAAGGAAGGAAGCAGAAGGAGTTACGTAAGGAGTTTGGTTCAGGGACAAGGGAATAGAGTGGGAGGAGTCGGAAAGCTTCCTGTAGGTGGAGGGCTTCTGGTGTGAGCACCTCCGCTGCTGCTGTGGGGTTTGCCAGGTGAAATGGTCAGAGGAGAGTGCCCAAGAGAGACCAGCATGCACAGACGCCACCACCCTAAGAGTGGGATGCCGTGGGGGCAGATGGGTAGCACCTTTCTGTGGGATGTGGGATGGAGACTGAAACTAGAGGTTAGTCTAGGGAAGAGAAGAGGGGGCATAGTGACACCATATCCTGAAAATAGACCATAATCCTTCTAGGTGCTCATGGAATACCTGTAAAAACGTATGACAGCCATAAACTTTAAATTTCAAAAAGCAGAGTTAATACAAATGTTTTGATAATGACGTAAAAAGCAGAAACTAACAACAAATCAAAACAAAAAACTTTCCCACTTGGAAATTTTAAAAAACAACCAACTTTTCTTTTAGCTGTGGAGTTAAAGAAATTACAGGGATTCTTAAAGCAGGACAACACATTAGAACCCAGCGGTTCACAGCTAAAGCAATGCTGGGGGAAATGTGCAGACGTAGATACTTATGTCAATAAAAATAGGAACCCAATTAAGCATTTCAATCTAAGTTAAGAAAAAATTAACGAAAGCAGGAGGGAATTAGTGAAGGTAAAAGCAGAAACTTGAGTTGGAAAACAAATAGCACCAAATAAATGGAAAAGCTGTTTTTTTTTTTGTTTTTTTTTTAACAATAAAACAGGTTAAAACCAGCTACCCTAATGGAAAAAATTGCTTAAGAATGGGGGAAAATGGAAACGTTTGTATTTAGTTAATATGTTTAGAACAAACTGCTAAAATATTCAAACTAAAGTAATTAACTGTGGGGGGTGGGGAGATGGGAACTCAGAAGGGGGATGGAATGGGAGACGATGCATCTTTAACATTTCATTTTTGAACCAGATGAATATGTTGCCTAGTCAAAATTATGTTTAACCTAAAGGTCTTTAATAGGAAGAAATAAGCACTCTTCCTGGGCAGGTATTTTAAGCAGGTGATGGGCTATAAAGGGGTAGGGATGCCATTGCAGTGATGAGGAGGCTGCTGGGGACCATGGGTGGGTGTGCAGGTGGCTCGCTGGGCCTGGGGTTTGAGGGAGCAGAGACCGAGGACTCAGCTGTCCTTTCAGAGGCTCACTGTGAAGGGCAGGGGAGAAATCGAGGGAGGGAACCTTGTCCCTCCCGGTCCTGGAAGATCCAAGTGACAAGGAGCAGCAGGTGCTGTGGCCGGTGGGGAAGGGCTGGACTCCACACCTGGGGGCGGGTGCTGCTGGCCCGAGGCAGGAAGAGCAGGTGGGTTTGCTGCTGGGAGTGGGATGTCCTCACCACAGACGATGGGCTTGCAGGTTTTCTACAGCTGGGCTGGGGAGTAGGCGCGTCATCTTGCAGGCAGGGGTCATCCAGGATGCTCTGAGCAGCATGTGACTTTGGAAGCTGTAGTTCATACAAAGATAGCCTCACATAAGGTGAGCTGGAGAGGAGAAAGAGGTGGAGAGAAGTTGTAGGAAGTGATGGCGGGCCAGCCACCGAGTCTCTGTGCTTGCTTGTCAGCTGGTGCAGGTCTGGAACCTTCCCAGGGCACCAAGGAGATGGGGGTCAGGGATCAGTACTTGGGGTGGGGAGATGCACATTTGGCCGTAGTCTTGGACCCTCTCAGCTCAGGTAGGTTATAAGTTCCCAGAAACCCCCTATCACTTTTGCTTCCTCCCTATGCCCTCTTCCCCCATCCCCAAGGATTCTTTTCTCCTTTCAGGTTTTGAAATCAATTTCATCAAATCTCTGAGCAGCAACATGCTGGTGCCCTATGATTACTCGTCCGTGATGCACTATGGGAGGTGAGGAGCCCCTTTCCTTGCTCTCTTCCCTCGGCGCTGCCCTGCCAGCCCCTGCTGTTGTCTGGACTCAGGCCCTGCCCACTGGGTTTCAGGCTCGCCTTCAGCCGGCGCGGGCTGCCCACCATCACACCGCTCTGGGCCCCCAGCATCCACATTGGCCAGCGATGGAACCTGAGCACCTCTGACATCACACGGGTCGTCCGGTTTTATGACTGCAGCTCGAGTGGCCAAGACCCCCGTGGGAAAGGTGAGTGACAAGGGGCAGAGGGATTTGAGGAACCAGAAGAAGGTTCCTGTGTTGAGGTGGTGTTAGCGAGGGTGGAGTAGGTGAGAGTTGAGGCTGCAGAGGTGAGCAGGGCGAGATCAGGGGCTCGCCACAAGAGACGCAGGAAAAGCATTTGAAAAAAAGTTACCACTCACAATTATAAAAAGTGTTAGCAGATTATAAAACTGTTAGCAAATAGAGGTCACTTTCTTAACCTTAACCTATTTCTATCTACCAAAAACCCAAAGCAAAAATCATTTTTAATGTCAAAACTTTAAAATCAAGACCAAGACAAGTTTTTTCCACTGCTGTCCCACCTACTCAATATTGCAGTGAAAGTCCTAAGCATTGTGGCATGACAAGAAAAGCTAAGCCTGAGGAATGGGAAGAAAGCAAAAACTGTCAACTATCCATAGATGATGATTCTACATTGAAAGTAAAAAAAAAAAATCTATAAACAGATTACTAGAACTAATAAGAATTTTTAAAGGTAAATACAATCAACATATAAAAATCAGTTGTATTTCTATATATTAAAAGTTAGAAAACAGAATTCTTAAAGATACCATTATTATATTGAAGATAAAAGTCCTAAGGAATAAACCTGACAGAGGTTGTATAAAAACCTCTATAAAAAGAACAGAAGCTCTATAAAAAATTAACTATTAAAATCATTTAAGAATACTTAAATGCATAGAGGTGTATCCGATTAAAAGGAACACAATGCAAAAATAATTCTCTACTGATCTACAGACTCAGTAAATTCCCACTGAAAACCCCAACGCATTTGAAGATCTTGACAAGGTGACTAACATTAATGTTAAAAACATGAAAGGCATAATAGTAAATAGCCAAGACACTCCTGAAGAAAAAAGTGGAGGGACTTCCCTAGCAGATATGAAGTTATACAGATTATAAATGCATAGCATATAAATGCATATATTAATATGTACATAAAATGTACAGTATACAAAATGTCTCTGTATAAACATACAGTGTTGCTACAAGGGTAGATAGTTACCCACTGAAACAGAACAGAGAATCCAGGAATCAGTCCTACTCAGAAGTGGAAACTTGACAAGGGATGCTGATGTCTGGGAAAGAATAGACTAGCCATTAAATGGCTCTAAAACAACTAGTCACCCATTTACAAAATTCCTAACTTATGCACAGAAATTCCAGATGTATGTAAGACTTACACATAAATAGAAACTTTAAAACTTCTAGAAGAAAATATAGTAAAACATCATCATGACCTTGGAATAAGTAGGATTTCTTAAATAAGACAACATAAACCATAAAACTGGAAAGATTAATAAATCCAACTACATTAATCATAAATACTATTTATTAAATAAGAGTGAAAATACAAGATACAGATCAGAAGAGAATTTTTGTAACGTTAATTGTTTTCAGTTATATAAAGAACTTTTACACCGTAAGAAAAAGAAAAACCACCAAGTAGAAAAATGGGCAAGAGGCTTAACAAGCAATTCACAGAAGAAACCAAATGAGAAAGACATTGAACCTTATTTGTAATCAAGGAAATGCAAATAAAGACCATTTTATATATCCTAAATTGGTAAAAATTTAAAAGCCAGATAATACCAAATACTAGTAAGAATATGAAGAATGATAACACTCATACGTTGCTGATAGGAGTATAAATTGCTGTAAGCACTTTGGAAAACAATTTGACATCTTGGAAAGTTGAAGTGTGTTTGTCCCATGGCCCAGAATCCTACTCCCGGGTCTTGCTGCATCTGTGTACCCCTGACTCTAACATACATTAGAGTTGCAATCACTAATCTACACTCTGTCTCTCTAGATTTGCCTACTCTGGACATCTCATATGAATGGATCATACAATATGTGATCTTTTGTGACTGGCTTTTCTCACATGGCATAATGTTTTCAAGGTTCATCTATGTTGTAGCAGGGATCAGTGCAGCTGGCCCTTGAGCAACATGAGTGTTAGAGGTGCTGACCCTCCGTGCAGTCAACTTCGCCTATAACTTAATAGTCAGCCCTCCACATCCATGGATTCAACCAACCACGGAGTACTATGAGCAACTTCACTGAAAAGAATCCACGTATAAGTGGACCCATGCAGTTCAAACCCGTGTTGTTCAAGGGTCAGCCACTCTTCATTTTTGTTGTCCAACAATATACCATTTTTGTTTATCCATTTATCAGTTGAAAGATATTTGGGTTATTTCTACTTGTTGGCTATTTTGAATAACGGTACTATAGACATTAATGTGTAAGATTTTATTTAGATGCATATTTTCTTCTTCCTTTAGATATATACTTAGGAGTGGAATTTCTGGGTCCTTTGGTAACTCTATATTTAATTGCAAAATTGTTTCTCCAAATTGGCTGCATTATTTTTCATTCCCACCAGCAACATATGAAGGTTCCAATCTCTCTACACCCTTGCCAACACCTATTCTTTGAATTATAACCAACCTAAGTAGGTGTGAAGTGGATCTCATTGTAGTTTTGACTTGTATTCCCCAATGACTTTGAACATCTCTTTGTTTATTGGTCATCTGTATATCTTCTTCTGTTCAAATCCTTTGCCCATTTTTCAACTGGACTGTCTTTCCACCGGTGAGTTGCAGGAGTTCTTTATACATTCTAGATACATGTCCCTTATCAGATACATAATTTAGAAACAGTCTCTCACATTTTATAGGTTTAACATTCTTGATGTCCTTTGAATGCAAACATTTTCAATTTTGATGTGAATTCCAACTTACCTGTTTTATCACTGCTTTTGGTGTCACATCTAAGAAGGCTTTGCCTAACTCAAGGTCATGTAGATGTAATCCTGTGTTTCTGGCATGTGACTATCCAGCTCTCGCACCATTTCCTAGACTATTCTTTCCCATATATAACATCAAATATTCCATACCCTTTTAAAAATTACAGAATAGGAGACGTGGCAAGAGCTTTGTGGGTAACCACTGGAGAGGTTTGACTAGCATGAGGAATAGAATTGAGGAAGCTAGGAGGGGTCATAGGTCAATGGAAAGTTTACCAAGATGGTGGACCCACAAGCATGTTTGGATATTGAAATAATGACCCAATGGAGAAGCAGAAGTGGATTCGGGGGGCAGAGGCAGAATATCTAGAACATTTGGGGAGGAGCTGGGGAGTTTCCTTGGACCCAGTGGGAAGGAAGAAGACAGGAGCACATCCAAGTTTGCATGTGGATCTTGAGGTATGCAGATGAGGGGACTTTGGTCCACAGATTTGATGTAATAAGGTAAGTTTTCTGACCAAGAGACTGGGGAAAAGGGATGGGCATGAAGGAAAAGGTATGAAGCTGCCGAGTGGAGAGCAGGAGAGGAAACCTGTTAGAGATACACGGCTGGACTCGGGGTGGTGCTGGGCAGCTGGGTGGAGGCGTGGTGTAGGTTAGTGACCTGGTCCTCCAGGACTGGGGTTTTGTAGGCAGTTCTGACAGAGGGGGAGGTGCCTGAGAATGTCTCCAACACGGTGACTGCAACAAGGGCTGTGGAGCCCAAGCCAGGTAAGGAGAATGGTTTGGAAGTGAGGAGGCTGTGGAGCAAGAAGATGGGGCTTGCGGGCTTAGTGGGGCTGAAGCATGGTGATGCTGTGAGCTGGCAGTAAAGGAGGCAGCCATCAGAGGGTGGGCTGCTGGGACTGAGATTTCATAGGAGGTGTTTTCTGGGAGTCTGGGCAGGGAGTGGTCTGTGGAGAAGAGTGACTGGTTGAAGTGTGTCAGCTCAGATCGGTCAGTGTCAGCAGATGGAAGATTGGATTCATCAGGAAGCCTCTGATGAGTGGGCAGGAGTGGTGGGGATCAGAGCAGCACTGAGGGGTGGGGCTGGCTGGCCAGATACCTTGGGCCTGAAACAAAGTCTTACAAAGTAGTTGGTGGCAGCCAGCCATGGTCCAGGAATGGCAGGGGAGAGACAGCTGGCCCCATCCCACTGAGTGCGTGGGCCTGACAGCACTCAAGTGTGTCCTGCTGGTGTCCTGGGTTTGGATGTAGCAGCAGGTGTAGGGCAAGTTCTGGAAGAGGCTCCAGATACAGGGGAGAGGTGATGTGTTGCTGTGTACAGAGCAGCCCCGGGGGCGTTTGGATGGCAAGGGCTGCCATTCGAGATCAGGAGGTTGACCATCAGAGACGCCAGGGGTGTGGGTGGAAGGTCATAGAAGATCCGAGTGGCCTGACTGTCTGACGGTGACCTCTGGGGCCGAGTGGGGAGGGACTGGGATGGCCCTGTGGTCGTTGTCTCTAAGGGAGAGTTGGGAACTGGGGTCTTGAAGGTAGTGTGCAGTAAGTAGCATGGCAGGGGCATGACGGGTTCTCGGATCCGGAGAGCAAGTTCTATGTCACTGCATAAAGCTGACGATGGCTCTGGCTCTTACAGCTGCCACACACTGTCCTTCTGTGATTCTGGGACATAACCTGTCTTTCCTGCTCTAGGGTTCCAGGCCCACAGCAATGGGAGGAGCCCCACTCCTGCCTCCAGACCACACCTGCAGCAGCTTCTGAAGGCACTTCTGGTAGAATCCAGGAGCCCTGACCCCAGAGACCTTGGGGCTGAAGGCCAGCATGTTGCCACAGGGCTGGAAGAGAGCCCACGTGTGTGGAAGTCCCCTGCTCTGAGGAATTTTGGGGTGGAGGCTTCTGCAAAGCCACCCCAACCCCCAGCTGCCTCCCTAAGTTCAAGGCCTGGAGTGGGTGTTCCTAGCACCCTTCTGGAGCAGTCCTGGCAGGCCCAAGTGCTGGCTGTCCCCCCAGCCCCATCTCTAGAAGAAGACCAGCTTGTACCCATCCAGGCTGTTCTGGGAAGCCCAGCTCTACCAGGAGCCCGTGCACCTGCAAGTCACTTTGTAAGGACACCTGGAGGTCAAGCCTGTGGCTTCTGTCCCCAAGTAGGGAGGGCATCCTCTGCCCAGAAGAGTCAGCGTGTATAACCCTTGGTCCCTCTGGGCAGCACTCTGTCTCCAGCCCCACTCTGGCTGCCCTGCCTGAGACCCAGGCCGGCCTCTCTCCCCACCCCTTCCTTCCCTGTCGCGTTCCCCCCAGGGCTCCTGGGGACAGCCGGCCCCCTAGGTCTGTCAGAGGAAGGCAGGCCTCTAGGGGCATGTCTAACTCTGCCTGCTCTCAACTGCTGCCCCTGCCCCGGGGTGGGGGGGGTGAGGGGCTCTGGGAATGGGAGATGACTTCTCCAGGGACAGGGAACAAGGTCTCCTGCAGCTGAGGCCCAGCCCCCCAGCTTGGACTAACAGTACTGCCTGGGGGTGGGAGCGACCCCTGGCGGGGACCCTGGGAGCAGCCTCCATCCTTCATGTCTGTGCTGGGAATGTGGTTCTGCAGCCATAGCGTTTCTGCAGCCATAGCCTCCAGCCCTGCTCGCCAGGCTTTCAGAGTCCAACTTCCTCCTGCGTCGTACAAGGAGATGAAGAGATGGGGGCCTTCCAGGACCGCGGGCAAGAAACCTGGCAAGAATGTAAGGGCCCTGAAGTCAGGAACCAAAGCTGCTGTCCACCCTGCATCCCAGTTTCCAAGGACCTTGTCTCTACCTGCTGCCCCCTCGGTGTCCCCTGCCCCAGGGTCTTGGTCAGAGGGGGCCCTGGAAGGTGCAAAGGGACATGGCAGTCACCCTGCTTGTCTTCTTCAGCCGGGCTCCACTCCTCTTCAGCTCCTGGCCTCCCTGGCGAGGGCTGTTCCAAGAACAAAGGAACTCCAGGGATGCCAGTGAGCGGGCCAGGAACCCTCCAGCGGTACTGTTCTTGTGGCTGGCTTGCGATGGGGATGTGAGCAGAAGCCTGTGCTCTGTCCCTGTGGGGCCAGGTGCCTCAGATGTTTTGGGAGAAGGCAGAAATAAAGTTGGGTACTTGCTGCAGGCGTCTAATGCTTACACATGTATTGAATTCGGTGCCAGGCAGGGTCTATTATAGGCACTGGGAATAACATGAGGAGCAAGGCAGGGTTTCTATTTTCATGGGGTTTATTTTTATTCAAGGATGGGGGTTGGGATGGACAGTAAACAGATAAAATAAGAAAGCATCTGGGATTGGTAAGTGAGGTAAGGGGGGAGCATCTCTACAGGTTGTTGGCATTTCGACTGAGACCTGAATGGCAGGAGGGTGCTACCCTGGGAACATCTGGAGAAAGAGCAGCCAGTGCAAAGTCCCTGAGGCAGAAAGGAGCAAGGTGTCAGGCCAGTGTGAGTGGGGAGATGAAATGGGTGGGGACACAGACAGGACCTGGTCAGCCAGAGAGTGATGGTTTTATTCCAAGAGCAACAGGGAGCAGGTGCTGGAAGTTTCTAAGAAGGGATGTGAGAAGACTGGGTTTAAAACTTAAAAAGTCATTACAGATGCTCCCTGGAAAATGAATTGGAATCAGGAAGAACAGTTGGAAGCCACTACAATTGTACAAGTGAGAGTGGGTGTCATGGAAAGGGGCATAGCCAGATGCTTTGGGACTGTTTTTGGAGGTTGAGGCAACTACACTTGCAACAGTATGTGGGGGGTGAGGGCACCACTTAACATTGAGAACTGAGGGGAGAGGCATGCACAGTTCAGGGAAAATGGGTGTGTTTAAGTCTGAGGCTATTAGACATCAAATGGTTGAGTCAGGGAGCATGTGGGCTGCACGAGCCTGAAGTTCAGGGCAGGAGATGTACTTTGTAGAGTCAGGTGGGTGCCAGGGGCTAAACTTAATTACCCAAGAAGGGTTCAGGTGAAGAAGAAAAGGGACCCCAGGACTGAACCAGGGTTGCACCATTCTGTGCACGGTTTCTCCATCTCAGCCTTATTAGTGTTTTGGGTCTGATGCATCTTCACTGAGGGTGGCTGTCCTGGGCCTTGTAAGGTGTTGGGTAGCATCTTTGGCCTCTACCCGGTAGATGTCAGTAGCATCTTCCTCCCACGGTGACAGTCAAAAATGTCCCCAAACATTGCCAAACATCCCTGGGAAGGAGCAAAAATCACTCTCAGTGAGGATCACTGATTTAGAGTTTGGGAGAAGGAAAAACTGAGAAGGAGTGGCCTGTGAGGAGGGACCCTGTGGAGTGTCCCACGGGAAGGGAGCGGTCTGTCCTACAAAATGCTGCTGAGAAATTGAGTCAGAGGAGGACACTTGGTATGGAGTCATGAGTGACCCACCAGGCGTAGATTCAGTGGAGGGTGGGATGCAGACGCCCTACTGAGGGTAAAGGGGAGAATGTGAGGGATTAGAGACAGTGACCAGGCAAACAAGCCAGAGGGTGGCTGGTGGCTGCAGGGGGCGTGGAGGGCTTCCTAAGGAGGGGCTGGCCCTTAGGGTGGGAGGTGGGGTAACTGAAGGAGCAGAGTCCTGAGGGACATGAGAGGGTATGGGGTCCAGGGCACACGCAGACGGCTTGCCCTGTGAGCAGAGATGCAGCTCAGACGCAGGTGCGTGTTGGGGATGAGTACAGGATGGCTTCCATTTTCTCTTAAGTATGAGGCAGAGTCACAGCTCGAGGAGACGGGGTGGGCCGGAGGGGGCGGGCAGGGAGAGGAGTGGGAGAAGGAGGCTGGCTGTGAAGCATGGGGAAGTGAGACCACAAAGAAAGTCTGGAGATTTGTGGTCATGAATTTTAAGCGAGGCCAGTCGATGCAGTGAGTATTGTGGTCCGGAAAAAGCAACCGCTTGGTCAAAGGCAGGTGGATGATTTAGGTTTGACCAGGGTTGGGGTTTTGTCAGGCGAGTCATGATGCGGGGAGAGAGGATGACTGACTCACAACACAGGGGCACAACTGAAGGGTCCGGGAAGGTGGGGAGGCTGGGTCATGCAGGGTGGTCTGGGGTAAGGGTCCCTGGGATTTGAAAGGCTGGGGCTTCTGGGGAAAGCTCGGGGGTGAAGCTGGTTGGGGATCATCCCCATGGGCCGTCAGGGCAGGGAGGGCAGCGCCTCGAGCTCCTGGGGCTCTGGCCCAGGAGGAACTGGGGCCAGCCTCCCCTTTTGGGCCTGGAGAAGTGTCTCCATGTTCTTCACTGAAGATGTCCCATCTCTTGCAGTGCTGTGCTCTCACAGCCAGGGATGGGACAATTGTCTCCCTTTTCTTTGGAAAATATGGTACTAGGTCATCTTTTCCCCAAGGCCCCTCTTTCCAAGGACCTCCCTAGGGGTCACCTCCATTTCGGCACCACTTGTCTAAGTAAAGCTCACATGTATGTCATCTGCTGATGCCTGCCACCATTACCCCTCACCTTTCAACACTCTTGGCCAGGTACTGGGGACAGAGAAGGGATGTCTGTGCTGACGGAGTGGGTGGTGGAACAAACCCATCGGACACCGTCTCGGGACAGTGCTCTGAGCATGAAAGTGTCACTGAGAAAGTGCAGGGTACCGTTTTCTGCCTAAATGGTGGTGAACAGTAAGTGGACCTTGAGAGAGTGCGGGCCACCAAGCATGGAAGGGTGAGGAGTGTGTTTCTGGCAGAGCAAACAGCCCCTGGAAAGGACTGGAGACGTTGGAGCCCAGGTCAGGTCCAGGGGACCAACACATAGCCTGGAGTGGCCTGGATGGCGGGCTAGTGCCTGTCACTGCCTCCCCCTGCCACCACTTGTGGCTGGGAGAGCTCCTGGCGGCAGCTGCTGCTGCTACTGGCTGGCTGTAGGTCTGGGACTGAACTCTGCCCGCCCTGGTGCAGTGGGATGACGATGGAAGGTCCGATCTAGTTTGGGAAGGGACGAAGGAAGCCCTGCTATGCCCTGAGGCTCTGATTCATGCAGGGCTCGGTGGAGCAGGCAGCTTGGGAAGGTATGTGGCAGGGGATGGAGACGGAGAGCAGGAGTGAGCAGGAATTGAGTTATGTAACAGCCTCTACAGCCCAGAGAGCCAGCTGCAGGGTGGGGCTGGGAGGCGGGACAGCTGGCGACACAGAGCCTGGGAAGTGGCTGAGCCTCTTGATGCCTGTAGACTCTCTGGCTGTCCTCACCTAGGCTGGTGCCCAGCAGGGCCCAGTGATGGGTAGATCCAGAGCTGCCCCTTGAGGGAAGGCTCAGGTGAGAATCAGTGTGGACTTGCAGGCTGGGGAAGATGTGGCTGGGTGGGTATAAGCAGCCCTGGCCTCAGTGCCCACGGAGTCCTGGAGGGCTGTCCTGTCAAGGAAAGTGGGCCAGGAGACAAAATGCTACTGCTGGTTGCGGGGTCTGGGGAGATGCCCACTGGCCCCCAGCCTGAGTATGGCGGGAGAGGCTGAAAAGTAGTCCTTCTCAAAGCCCACTGCGGGGTGAAGTGGGGGTACAGCTCAGTGGTAGAGCACATGATTAGCATGCATGAGGTCCTGGGTTCAATCCCCAGTACCTCAGTTAAAGAAAAAACTCAAAACAAAGCCCATTTGGGCCACCAGGGTGCTAAGATTCTTTAACTCCTGGGACAGGGAGGCGCAGGCAGGAACTTACATAAGTGTTTGCTTCCCTGGCTCCAGTGGCCACCTCTTTGTCCTTCCTCAGGGAAGGGGTTACTGAGATCTCTCCACCCCTGGCAACTGTGGGCCCAGGCCCTGCCCAGCCCAGCCTAGTGAGTGGAAGGATGCAGCCATGAAACCTGTCTCTGGAGGGGGCCAGGGAGGCTGGCTGCCTCTCCAAACCTAGCCTAAGTACTACCCACCCCACCGGCCTGTGGGTACTCACACCTAACAGAAGAGCTGGGTAGGCTGGCAGGAGGCAGGGCCAGCCTAGGATGGAGGAGGAACCCTGTCAGTCCTGCCACGTGGCTGGGGGAGGTCTGGGGTACCACCTGTCTGAGCCTGGGTAGGAGTGAGACATTGTGGGCACCTTGAGATCACATTCCCTGCTCCTGTGAAGATGGAGCAGGCACACTGGCTCAGGGCCAGGTCATTTGGAGGAGCCCTACTTTCAGAAGTGGATTGATGCTTATTATACAGAAGATGACATGCAGAGCTGTGGGATAGAAATGTGAGGCCTGGGTCTAGGTTTGGGTTATAGCATTAGGGGCTCTGGAAATGATGAACAAAGCCCCCTGGAGGCTGCCCAGGCTGGTACTTGAGGCAGCAGCTATCAGGGAGCATGGGTAGAGTGAATGTGCTGCAGAGCACCCGGTCTACGCGGCTCTTTGAGGCCAGAATGGAGTCGGGGTGGAGTGTGTGCTTAACTGGAAATGTTTTCTTACCCCAACTATTCTTTCCACAGCCACTCCGAGAGGAGTGTGCACCGTGAGTGGTGGTGGTGGTGGTGGTGGTGGTGGTGGTGGGGGAGTCAGCAGGGTTGGAGCAGGAAGGGGGTCACTACACAGGCAAAGGGAAGCTCCTCCCCTCCAAGCTGCTCCTGAGACCTACATTTAATCTGAGCTGTGTCAGAAAGACCCCGCCCTTGACCCCCACTAGGTCTCCTTGCTCTGCATCAAGGGACATCCTCTTCCTATTGGTCGTGAGTTTGGAGTCTGCAAGGGGTCCACCCCCACTTGCCTGAGTCCCAGTTATTGCTGAGATTTGAGTCCAAGCCAGTTGTTTCCTTACCTCTTTGCCCTTAATGGAGGAAACTGAGGCAGCTGCAGGAGAAACAGGAAAGCTGAAGTCGTCAATCCAGGCTCTGCGCACTCGCTTGCGCCCGCGGGCTTGGGAACCTTCTCAGCGCCACCAGGACTTGGCAAGGATGCGGGTCTCCGGCGGGCTGCAGACGAGCTTGGCACGCAGGCGGCGGTAGGGGGCGCTCGCCACCTGGACACGCGCGCCTCCTCGGACTCCGCAGGCCCGACGGAGTCCAGTCGGGGCGGGAAAACATTTGGGGAAGGGGTTCGGAGCAATCTCCCGCTCACCCCACGCCCTCCACTTGGCTTCTTTCCTCTCGGGCGCTGGGTAGGGGGTGTGGTTTATTATGCTCTGGCGCCCCCAACACGCCCACTCACGCTCTCTTTGGGGCTTTTGGGCGGCAGGAGAGATCTGCTCGCGCCCGCTGTCTCAGACCCGAGGGCTCAGCCCCAGGCCCGCAGTCCGCAGGAGAGACGTCCCGCTTCGGTGCCCGCGGACCCGCCAGCGCCGCGTCCCAGCTTCCCGCGTGCACCGACCCTGCCACTTCTGCCAGCCTCCTACCCCGGGTCCGGAAGACACCAGACGCCGGGCCCCTCTGACCTGTGCCAGCGCGGAGGCCGGGAGGAAAAGAGCGGAGGGCGCCAAGGCGGAGGCTGGGGGCGCGGGGAGGCTGCGGTCCGCCCGTTCCCCAAGAGAGGCGCACCTTCCACCCGCCCTGGGTCGGACCGCCCGCCCCGCCTCCTTGCCCTCCTCCTGCTCCCGCCTCCAGTCTCCTCCCTCCTCCAGCCGCGCTCGCTCTGCCCCCTACCTCCCTCCGTCGCCGGCGGGCGTGCCTCGTCGCGAGCGGCGTCCGGCCGTCTGCGTGTACGGCCGACGGACGGGACGTAGTCGGTACGATCGAGGTT